TCAATCATCATGGGTTTAATCTAGCAAATGTTAACTAACAATTTATTATTAAATTGTCCATAAATTGTCTCATGTTTTTTTTAATTTGTGCCAGCCATTCAGAAACAACGGCCCATTGGATGGGATCTGTAAAAGAAATTACTCTGAGTGGAAAACAACAGAAAGAAAGAAAAAACCCAGAGAATGCTTGCATTCCATTTGCTTACCAGCCAAAGATCTTTGTTCTTTCATAGCAATCTACAGTACAATGCGTACCTGGTTTTGTTTTGTTTTATCTTTGGAGGAATTTGAATAGTTCCTATTAAAAATGGTATTCTCTTTTAACTTTATTTTGTTTGGAAAACCTCAAACCACACTGTATTTCATACACATGTTCCCATGGGTACATTAAGTAGGACCATACTGAGGTCATCTAGTAAGTTTTTAAAACTTTTTAAGAATTCCTTTAATGTACTGTACGATCTTGGCCTGATTAAAAGAACATATTTTAGAAAAAGAGAGCTTGGAAAAAAATCTGACTTTAAAAAATTCCATGCAAATAGTCTTTACTGTATCATTACAGTTCACAGGACCTTTACAAATGTACTTTGCTCTCATTTTTTGTTAATAAAAGCAAATTGTAAACCTAAAAGATCTTGGCTGAGCACATGTTTTTCTATCTACAGTATCAGTGATCCTAACAGAAGAAATTCTTCCTTTTCGACCTTTTTAACTCCATCACACATGTGCACGTGCGCACATACACATACCCACAAACACACACTGATAGACTTAACAGTGAGGAAGCCTGTAGTATTCATTTGTGAAGTTAAAATGAATAAAAGCTTGTAAGCAGCTGGGAAAAAGGTAGACAATGTTTAATTCTATATTACCTTGTTCTCCGACTTAGTCAAAAACTTCATGTTTTTGGCAGCTCATTACATTATGATCGAAGCTGTTAATGATCTTAACGATATGTTCCAGGGTCAGACAATTTGTTTTTGTTTTAATCTGAATTTATTAAATAATTTGGATGACCCTCTGGCCTCCAAATTCCACTGCCTTTGTTTGGTTTAATTCTATTCCATTTCAGTCCTCTGTTTTAGACTTGGCTTCCCCATCTCTTCAGACTTTCTTCCATTGCTCTTCATTATTATTTTAACCTTTACCCCCTACTCTTGGTCTTTGGCTGCTAAAGGCCTTGTGTACTGTAAAGCATTTGTAACCCTGCTAACAGCTGTGCTGGCATATCCTTTGATGGTTTTTCATATGCACGCACTACCTCAGAAGCCTCAGTCACCAATGGTTTGAACCCACACTTACAATGACCACTTCTCTATAGTATAAAACCGCAAAAAACATAAATCATGAGGAATAACAGCAATGAAAATCAATGAAACTGCTTTGAGATGTAATGTTGCTGAATATCTATTTTACAGAATCATTGTTAGTACAAGACAATGAGGGAATATCGTACATAGGATGTCAATTCCAAATACATACTGATTAGAGGTAAAGAAAAAGTCTGCCCATGCCTCAGTAGTGTTTTGAGGTCTCTACAAGAGCAAGCAGAATTTAAAAATGTTACCAGATTGTTGCATTAAAAATGTGCTTGTTAATGTAATTTTGCTACCATCTTTCCTAAATACACCTTTTTTCTAGTCTAGATCAGGCCTGAGAGAAGATGAACAAAGAAAAAAATGTCACGCTCTGGAGAGCATTTGTCTACTATTTCAAGATGATCACAGAGACATTGTACTGTTTATCACTAAAGATTAGTGGGAGAGGCTTTACGTATCTGATCATTTGGCTGTTGTTATGACCTGGTGTGTCGGGAGGTATCTTGTCTTCCTTTCAGTAAATGGGATTTGGGAATTCAAACCCTGAGCTGCTGCTGGATGTCCTGTCTTCCCAAAGTATTGCAGTACTTTCTGTAGCTTCAGGAAATGAATTTACAAGTAAGCACACAAAAGACTAAGGGGAAGAAAGAGTGTGCACGTGCATTTGTCACAGTGGTTTATGTGGTCATGTAGCTGCTGCTAAAGCATGTCGAGAATGATCTAATGTGCACAGGTAAAAACTAACAAATGGGCAGGTGAAAACCCAAACATCTTTGTTTGAACTAGTCCTAAACTACTGAAGCCAAGTCAGTCTTGGGTTATCTGGTTCAGGTGTGAGAATTCAACTGAGAACTCATGTGCACAAAAGCCTCTGCCACAAAAAATATTAAAATGCAAGCAAAAATGCAAACAAAACAGATATCAAACAAGGCCCTTACTCTTGGATTTACTTCACGGGTAGGTTAACAGTAGAGAAAGTATACCTACCCCAGAGATGTCATGCTAAAATTTCATCAAAGGCTTAGGGCAGATTTGTCTCCCTTGAGAAGAAGCAAGGCACTGGAGAACCAGTTTGTTTCTTCACCTGAACACAAGTAGTTACTTATACTTATTAGCAAAAGGAAGGTGACATCATTAGGGAACACGAGTGGAAAGCTACACCTCACTAGAAATACTTACATTTTATTCTGAAAAAGGAATAAGAGCAAAATGATAGTGTAGCATTTAGTTTAGAGGAGGGTGTGAAAGGGATATTTTTCTTATGAGTTTTGTGAGAGAAATGGAAAATAAACATATCCTTCTTGGGGAAACTATTTTGAAAACCTGCCATTTAGTACCATCTGGCTCATTCCAAAGGCAAAGGCATCATTACACATCACTAGGATAGGTCATGCCTAGTGGTGATGATTTAATAGTGTCCAGAGAGGGCCAAACTCTCTGGGCAAATTGAAATGTTCTGCTTTTCAACATCACCCTGTCTATAACCACCAGCCACCCCCAGGAAAATAAAGCCTCCTGCAGTGTACTGTTTAAAATGCAAGCCTAATCCCTGCGAAAGTTATGAAGTGAGAAAGTTGGCTTGGTTATCCTCTACAGGCAAAGTCAGCATGGTGCATGTTGCTACCTAATTTCAAGGAGTAGCAGTGCATTAATCTACAAAAAAACCCCAAAACTTTGCAACTCTGATGCAGTGGTAGCCTGAAAAATGTGGATGCTTGTTGCACAATAAATGTATTCCTTTATCACATGTCCATGTGCCGCCCTTTTACTCTTCTGCTAAGACTTTAATCACATTCACAGTCTTGGCATGCATTGGTGAACAACAGACAGACACAGAACAGACTAATCTATATTACCAGTTGCTCATATTTTCCAAGTTCTTGCAGTATGCGTGAATTCCTTGAACATTCTCATTTCTTTATTAGATATTGATTATGGGGGTTTTGACTGTATGTGCACATGCACATGCACACGCACACAAGTAGATTTGTAGTTTTTGTTGAACAGGGCATTTTATTCCATGATAAAAAAATAATTTGAATAAGATTCACTGCGCTATAAAACAGACTGTTATGCACTTAGACACAAAGTGACTGAGTTTGTGTTAGAGAATCAATCCAATAGGCACAATGGGAAAACTACTGCAATGCCAAGCCTTATGCACACAGGAAAGGGAACATATTTGAACCAAGTGAATAGTGCCTCTTACAAAGAGTTAACTTCCTGTAATACTAAAAGCAAAAGCTGAAGTGCTCTCGGGGCTTATCTGTCCTGCTCCAGTGGTGGGAGTTTAGGATGATGGGGCTCAGCATGCCCTGCCCACCCAAATCACTGACACACTCAAGAGCCAGAAGTTTACCCAGGAGGCTGCTCCAGATGCACTCTCAGACCCACTGGATATTGAAGGCAAAAGAGTAGTTGCTGGGGATGAGTCTGGGGCAGCCTTCTGGGTGGCCTTCTGACTCGAGTGATTCAGTAGACTCAAGAAGGGAGTAAGTAGGGGGAGAAGTACAGTGTGGGTGGGATACGCTCTGTCCCAGCGGTGCCCAACCTTTTTGCCCCACTGACTGAATGGGTGGTGCCAGGTCTCTCCACAAGCCAGATCCAGCCAATGGGCCCAATCCCACTGCGAGAGGATGCACAGCCCGACCACGATTTATTTGCCTGGGACTGGGACATAGCAGAACAGCCCCAACAAGGAGGCATTGGGGGGAGGGAGGGGAAAGCAGCTTGATCCAGTCCTGATCCGGATGCATGGGGAAGGGCCAGGGAAAGGGGGCAGCACAGCTCTGATCCTCATGTGTGGTGGAGTGGGGAACAGACCAGCCTGGATCCAGATGTGTATATGGGGAGTGGGGGCAAAACAGCACCTATCTGGACACACAAGGGAGGTGAGGGATGGAAACAGGCACGCAGGTGTAGGGCATTCCCAGGGGGTGACCTGGCCCTGATCCCACTGCATGGGCAATGGCCCCAGTGAGGCTGAATCCAGACATGGGGAGCTTCCCCTGCCAAGTGGTGCCAAGTTTCTAATCCATGGGGGAGCCTCACAAACCAAATATTATGGCTCTGTGGGCCAGATCTGGCCCAATGGCCAGAGTTTGAACACCATTGCTCTATCCCATCCTCCCCAAGTGCTGCCACTAACACAAAACCAATTAGCCATTATTTCTGAAAACACCATGCTAGGAAAAAGGGTGATATCTTTCTGTATCAGATTTTCATTCTTCTCTATTCAAAACTTGGTCATTTCATACCAATTATATCATAGCTATATTTATACCAATATGATAATTATACATGCTTTAAAGAACTGTCACTTGTGGGAGTCAAGAAAGGATGCCTTCCAACATTTACAGCATTGCCAGATTTGCCTAAAAGTATATTATGTTTTTCTGCCCTCCAGTCCTTTGAAGGCTCAGGAACTTACAGCTGTTGAAGTATGCAAGACATGATGCACCAATGGTCTGATACAACATGGCAAAGCACATATTCCCAAATAACTATTCATTTTAGGGTTGGTACTCAATTACTGTTTGTGATTACACCATGTTATTGGCCTCATACTCAATCTGAATGACCTGCATCCCATTTTTGAAAGTAAGGGTGGTGGAAATCAATCATGTAGCATTTGTGAAACACATGTTAATGACATAACAAAAAGGCTTAGCTAGAACTGACCTGAGGATCCGAGAATACTTGCTGCATAGTGTTGATTGGACCATATGGAACACCACTGCCTTCAAAGAGTTGTAGCCATTTGGTGGTTGTTCTTGCTGAAAACCTAGGAACAAACAAGGAGCATGTGGTTTAGACTCTCCATTTCAGATTCCAAAGTGCATATAGCACCCTCTCACTGATTTTATCCTAAGTCAATAATACAATAAAAATGTGCCACACATGTTCTTTGGAAATGCAAAGACCGACCCTTAGGGCAAAGAACTTAGTTACACTGACTTAGAATTCTACCCGATTGTCTGAAGTAATCCAGCAATGATGCAAACCAAAATTATCATCAGCTTCAAATATGGATCAATGGGTTTCCTCCAGTTCTTAATTACAGCAATGTGCTTAATTTTTTAAAAATTTTATTTATTTATTTATTTAACAACAAAAGAAAAGACATGATGTGGGTAAGGGCCTTATGTATGACACTGTTCTATTTTTGTCCAGAAAGAGCTGATTTAAAGCAGTACATTGTTTTCCCTCCACTACATCTGAAACACATGTCAGAATTAACAACCACAGTTTTTGGTCAGATAACAATATTGACTACATATTTATTTGTTGTATGATTGTATAATCTGTCCTAAGGATATCCGGTTAAGCACATACACACTGTACTTACCCTATGTAATTCAAAGTTCCCTGATTTTGTATATAATTTAAAAAGCTTTACCCACTTCCTTAAAAGTATTCAATTTTCAGAGTGCTGGAAGTCCTTCTCTTTATTGTTTTTCTGTCTTTAGATACATGCAGCTGATTGCCAAAAATGCATTTCTGTGTCTTATCTACTAGTGTTACATGCACCAACATAGCAGAGTCTCAAAACAAAGGAAATAACCAGCAGCTGAAAAGGTGATGCTTTCTATTGGCTTCCGACATTGGGAAGCAGAAATGATACGGAGTCCAACTTCTAACCTCATGTAGGTATGTATCACAATGATCAAACTTTCAAATGAGAATAAATACACACACACACACACACACACACACACATAAGTATATATACATACACACACTCAGAGTCTTAAAAATTGAAGGTGAGGCAAGGGACATGCAAGATTCAAACACTTGAAGCAAGCGAGATGCGGTAAGTTTCTTGATAAGTTTACCAGGGAATACCAGCAATGCAGGTAGTTTATCATTTCCAAGTTCCTTCAATGGAATAATAGGCAAGAATTTTATTTTTTTATTTCATAATGCCCAAACTTCTTTTGCTGTGTAATAAGGAATACCTGAAGAAATATTATTTAAAAAAGGACTACACAGAGTAATACATTTTTTCCCCTCAATGTGCGTTTAAGCTTTGCCATTGTGTTGCCCATTCACCTTGTTTCAGTGTCAGAAATTCACCACAGTTCTCAATGGTCTTGATTCACCTTAATAACAGGTGCCATGTTTAAAAGCTTGCTCATCCCCTTCTCCAGATCATTAATATAGGACATATATTGGAAGCTGGAGGCACCCTGCTGTCAGCCTTTTACCACAGTAGAGAATGACCTTTTATTCCTACTCGTTGTTTTCTGCCTCCTAGACAATTTTTGATTCATGACAAAACTTTGGTTGCCATCTTGTGACTGCTTAGCTTCTTAGCTTATACTATCTTCTGAGGGAATTTTTGAAAGTCAAAGTAAATTACAGCAACCAAGTCTTCTGTATCCATTGCTTCACTGACATATTTAATATATAAGGCACAAGTTTTGCAGAAACTGTGCTGGTTGGAGTTGATCATCTTCTAATATTCACCTGTTATATTAATAAATTTTAACAATCATTTTTGCCACCTTACTAGGTACAACGATGAGACTCACTGGTCTGTAAACCCGAAGACCATGTATAAAACTTTTTTTGAAATAGAGACAACATTTGCTACTTCTTTGACCCTGCAGTATGCTGCTACCTATGAAAGTTCATGCCTTTCTAAACCAGTTGGTCTCAAAGGTGCCACCCTGCCCTGCCCTGCCTTCTGCTTGCAATATAGTGGCTGCTTCTATAAGCAATTGTATATTTTTGCTAGAAATTCAGACACTTCAAGCTCCTACTTGGCCTGGTGACTTAAGGCTTTTTTAAAATAGTAGGGTCCCCCCCCAGCACTGCTTCTTCTGACACCCTACACTCTGCTCATACTTCATCCTTATTACTAAAAAAAGTACAGGCCCAACACAAGGACTTTCCAAATATCCTTTGTGACAATAACCGAGGCAAAGGAAGCATTTAGCTTCTCAGCACCCCTCGCCCTTCTTCCTTAATTGGTCTCTTTAGGCCTTCACAGTCCAACAGACCCACAGATTCTTTCACAGGCTTCCTGCTTATGATAGCCTTTATGTCTTTTTGTTCTTCTCTCTCACAAATTGAATATAGATGTGCTGTACGGTTGAACTCAGATAGTTATTCAATAAAAAGCATACTCTAAAATTGGAGCCTTTTCAACAAGAGTGTCAATTACTTAAGTCTCTATAAACATTATGCTCTCATGGCAAGTCTGATTAATTTTCAAGACAAGTACATTCATCATCAGTAGAGTTCCACAAGTGATCTTGAATGTTCTGTGAAGTAAATGCATGTCACTTTCAAATCATACTCGGGGGCTGCGGGGCCGCCTAGCTTGTAATCACAAGGGAACTTTTGAGGTTTTAATATTTGTCTATGCTTTTTCCTGCCAGGCAAAGAGAGGGAAACTTACTGCAATTTTGTCAAAAACAAAGGGTGCACTATTTTAAAAATAGATATTTTTCAAATAAAATCCCATTGTCTTGGTCTTATTTATTTATTGGTGGTTGGGAAGAAGCCGAGAAGCTTTAAACTCAATCAGTCAGAGACGTAACATTTCTGCATTCCATTTACCCCAAAGGAGACATCCATCATTTTCTCTGAAATTGAAGCTCTTGACCTAAATCAGATGTGGGATGGCTTCCTTTATCTGTGCTGAAAAGCAGTATGAGCCTGTTTTTATTAACACATGGATAAAACTGTATAAAAGAAAAAAAATACATTCAGCTTTCCAAAGGAAGAACACGCCACAACTCTGTCCTCAGTCTCATCCTAAACTATTTTGTTACTGCTCTGCCAACTTTATTGCATGACAGGACGGCAGCATCAATACCTAACCAGCATGAATTAAAAAAA